AGCTGGCTGCCTTCAGTGCATCTCATTGAAACAGAGCCTAACCTTCCTCTGGCCTCTTCCGGTCTGGGTGTGTGGGGCTGGCTGTCCTTCAGCGCTGGTAGCTGCCTGTTGATGGGAGCAGACATTTCACAGAAGGCGTCCTCTCCTCCACTGCGTTTCCACCTCCCCCCCGCCCCAATCCCTTCTCTTCTCCCTACTAAGCAGGACAGACTAGAGGCTGAGGGTGGACACGTAGCTTTCCCGCACTCCCCCACACGATGGAGAGACAGGGCAGGATTCAGGGCAGCTCCATCTGTCTCGCCACGTGAGCTCAGGTGAGCCCTTGCCTCTCTGGGCTTCATCCCCACCTCCTAGCTTGAGTCATCTGTCACCAAGGATAGAGACTGTCGCCCCCAAAGGAGCCACAGAGACGGTGAGAAAGTGCCCTCCGGGCTGGGGGACTTTGGGACAGGCTGGAGTGCCTAAGCCCCTGCCCTGCCTGATGGGGGCCAAAGGCCCCAACCCCCTGCGAGATCCTGCCAGTTGCCAGTTTGGGATCACACGGACCGTCCCTTGGGTGGAGGAACCGGAAGCAGCTGAGGTGCCCCCGCAACTGCTGGGAGCCGTCCACCCAGACGCCAGCCTTGGGGGCTCCAGCCTGGCAGACACCGGCCTTTAAAAATATTATTCACCAAGTGATTCCAGAGACCGTTTACAAGACTGAGCTGAGACAGGCGCATGGACAAAACCAAAGTACCTTTAAAAAGCATCCTTCAGGAGGGGATAAAAAGCCCCAAACAAAAAACAAAACCCTCTCAGATCCCAGGTTGTAAATAGATGGATATTACTATAAAAATAGTTTTGGCTGCAGGAGCACATGGCAGGAAGGCTGGGGGTGGTTTTTTCCATGGTTAGCTCGGACCTGGCGACTCCAAATGGGGCAGCCACCGTCCCGGGCGGTGTCCTGTGGGATCGTTTGCACCAAGACGCCCCAGCTCGAGGGGGGAGTGCGAAATAGAAATAACAAGCAGCACACACATTTTCCGTCAAGGAGCCCGGGTGTCTGCCCCCCTCCCCATTCCAAGCCAGCCGGCTCCTGGAACACCCCTGCCCACTGCCACTCCCGAACCCCTGCAGATGGGAAGGGGAGGCTGAGAGCAGCTCGGCATCTGTAGGCGCTGAGGATGGGTTGGAGCCAGGTCTGCGTGGCTCTGGACCCCATGCTCCCTTCACTGTCCATGAGGTCTCCTGGAGCCCTGGGCGAGGCTGGGGCTGGGGGACACCTTCGTAGGTCTCTCTTAGGAACAGAAGCCCTTCTTGCAGCCTCGGCAATCTGGGTGCCTGTGTCTTGCCCGGCATGAGGAACCCATATGGAAGTTTGCCTGTGTGTGTCTCCCTGGCTCCAAGTGCCAACAGTTCCAAAGGGAGTCTCGAGTTTTCCAGGGCAAGGGGGAAGGGGCTGGGGGAGGGTGGATGTGTCTTATCTCCCCCTGGGCCGGGGCTACCAGAGGGCCTAATTCACCGTCTTATAATAATAGCGATAACAGTAGTGGTAGTAACTATCACGAACCTCCTCGGGCCCAGACTCTTCCTGCATTACCTTGTTTAGTCATCTCCATGACTCAGCAGGAGGGGGTGGCCATGCCCACTTTACAGATAAGGAGACTGAGGCACAGGGAAGGGAGTGACCTGGCCAGGCCACACGTATGGTAAGAGGCAGAGCTGGGATCGGCCCTTGCCTGTTCATCTGGGACCACACCTCCACATGAGTTCCCTGAGCACAGGGTCTGGCCCCTTGGTAAAGGCTTAAGTGATGTTTGTTGAACGAACGACTGATCCACAGCAATGGAAGCACACCCCCGACCCGTCCTCATCCAGCAGAGCACGGATGGGCTGTCCACACAGGATGTGACAGGAAGGCAGTGCTGCACCGCAGGTCACTGGGGAGCCCGGGGGGCCTGTGCAGGCTCACACCCTCAGTGGCCCAGAGGTTCCAAGGACAGGCCTTGGGTTCAAGCGCTGGCTTCGTCCTCACTGCAGCGTGGCCTGTTCCGTCGTGTCGCCTCTCCCAGCCTCCCCGCCCTCATCAGTTGGGTGGGCAGCAGCGCCCACGGCCCACGGGTTGTTGGAGCTCTCCTCCTCGTGCCCAGTGGGGCCCCCGAGTGGCGAGGGCATCTGGCCTCTTCTTCTCTGGCGGGAGTGGCGAGGTCTGATGCGGGTCAGGAGGACAGTCCGGGAGGATGGGGTTCAGACGGGCCACTGATGCTGTACGTGGCTAGGGCCAAGCCAGAGGTGACGGAGACAGGCCTGAGAACTGGGGCTGGCACACGGCACACACCCCAGACGTGTCAGCACCCGTTTGCTCCTTCTCATCCTTTCCCTGGGCGCTTGCCTGCCCCCAGCCCTGGCAGGAGGAAATCAGTTGTAGAAGCGGGTGGCTGTGCTGGGGGAAAGGGGGGGTGCGTTTGTTGTGATGACGGCGGATGAAGGCCACGCTCACACAGCCTGATGCTGGAGGGAGGGCAGATGGGTCGGCGGCCCAGGAGCCAGCAAAGACAGGGCTTTCTCCGTGAGGGGATGGGGCACGGATCAAGCAGAAGCCAGGGGACAGGACAAGCCTGGGCCGTGGTCTGTGCTGGGGGAGGGAAGGCTCCCCCACCAGCACTTGTCCCACAGCGCCCTGCCTCAGGATGCTCCAAGTGACCCGAGGGCCTCCCTCCTGGAAGGGTCTCAATGGCCTTGGTGGGATCCAGCTCCTGGCTGTCCAGTAGGAGGTGGTCCCGTTGCTCCCCCATTCCACAGAGGGGAAACTAAAGCCCGGAAGGGTGGTGAGGCTGGCTTGAGGTCACACAGGTGACAGTGGTGCACCCCGCAGTAGGACCCCCTCTGCTGTGAAGGGCAGTGGCTGTCCCTGGGCAGCGGTGACGGCCATCCAGTCATCACCTCCTTATCAGTGCCCCCTGGCCCGGGGGCCACCACGTGCAGCCTATGTGACCTTGGTAAGCCCCTCTGCCCAAACCCCCACCCCAACGAGCCTGGGTCACCATTGGGAATATGGGTCTAGCAGGGGTCTGTGAGGAGGGCGGCTCAGCGCTGGAAGGCCGGACACAGCGACGGCACGGCAGCGCCTGGCCTGCGCCTGCTTAGGAGGCTCGGCTCCGCGCAGGTAACTCATACCGAAGCCCCAACTCCAGCAGCCCGAGCGGTCGGGACAGGCGTCCTTCCTTTCGCTTTTAAGCAAACAAGTCATGAATTTAAAAGCCAGGGCAGAGAACTGTCCAAGGCGTAAAAATAGCCACCGGCCACTAAGTCAGCACCCAACTCCCGGCAGCTGGGTCCCCAGCCTGGTGCCTTTAAAGAGGGCTCCCCGAAGCCAGGGCCACAGTGCAGCAGAAACGGGAGCCCCTCCTTCCCGGGGGGCCAGGGGGAGGGTCCGTGGGGGCGGGGCCGGGGTGCCCTTCGATCTCTGCTTGCCCTGAGTGTGAAAGTCGGGGGCGGACTGGGGGCTCCAGAAAATAAAACACTCCCCAGATGACGGAGCCCAGCCTGTGCTCCCGCGTCCGGGCTCACGGCCACTCAGGGCCTCAGTTTCCCCACGTGCCGGCCAGGGTCGGCGCGCAGCGCGGCCGGCCGCTTTGTGCGGCCGCCCAGACAATGGCCCGGCCGTGCCGGTCGCTCCAGCCAGGCTCTCCGCCTGCTCCGCCGGGTGGTTTTTTTGGGGCAGGCCGGGGAGGGAATACTGCTCCCGCCCCGCCCCCCCCCCGCCCCTGCGCCCCCGCCGCCCCCGCGCGGCTCCGGGGAACCCCTGGTGGAGGGAAACTTGCAAGTTTGCACCGCTCGCTTGCTCGCTCGCAACTCGGCGGCTGGGCGGGCGGCGCGCGGGGGGCGGGGGGCGCGCTCCGGGCTGACGAGGTGGGGGCGCGGAGGGGGCAGTCCGTTCCGGCCGGGCGGGGGGACCGGCGGGGGGTGCGCTCCGGACGGGCGGGGCCGGGCGGGCGCGCAGGCCGGGCGGGCGGCGGCGCTGCGCCGGTCCGCGCCCGTCGCGGGCCCCCCGCCGCCCCCCCGCCGGCGCCGCAGCGGTCGGAGCGGGGCGCGGGCGCGCGCGGCGGGGGCGCGGGCGCGGGCGCGCGGCGGCGGCGCGCAGCACAAGTAGTTTACATTGTTGGGCGACTTTTGCAACAACTCGCCGCGCCGCGGCCTCCGCGCGCCGCCGCCGCCGCCGCCGCCGCCGGCTCCCGCCGCCCGGGCCCGGCCGGCCGCGCCGGGGGCCGCCGCGCTCGTCCGCCTCCCGCCGCGAGGTCGCCGCAGACATGGACACCAAACATTTCCTGCCGCTCGGTGAGTGATCGCGGGCGGCGGCGGGGGCGGCGGCGGCGGGGCGCGTTCCCGGCGCGCGCGGGGGCCCCGGCTAGCCCCGCGCCCCCAGCCGGCCCGCGCGGAGTTGGGGCGCCGGGCGGGAGCGGGTGGGCCGAGCAACTTTTACCCGGGCCGGCCGGGCTGGGAGGGGGCGAGGGCGGCTGGCGGCCCCCCGGCCCGCGCCGGGCCGCCGACTTGGTGGCGGAGCGGGAGTGGGCAGCGGGCGGGCGGCGGGGCCGGAGGGGTAGCCGGTCGGCTGGAAGCGGGGGGCTCCTGGCCCCTCCTGGCAGCGACCCGCGACCCCCGCCCGGGCGCCCACCTCCAGCGGGGCGGCGCAACTTGTGCGCTCCTAGCCTTCAGCCGCCCTGGCATCGGGACGGCCTCTGCGCCGCCGCCTGGTATGCCGAGTCCAGCAGGCCGCCGGCCCTGGAACACTCAGGACTCCTCCTCCCCCAGAGCAGCCCGGGCGCGGGTGGGCAGGGTCGCCAAGGGGCCGTAAGACCGGGAACATCAAACCTGGGGCCCCATTCCAGAAATGGGGCCCCTCACTCAGGCGCACCAGAGTGTTCTCCGGGCGTTCTCTGGAGCTGGCCCTGCACTTGGGGTGGACACCCTAGAGGTACGGGGGGCCGGTTTTCCTGTTCTCCCACTGCCATCCCACCCAGTGGCTTCCCTGCCCCGGACTAATCTCCAGTTCAAGGCCTGGACCCACGGAGGAGGAGGAGGGGGCATGGCCAGGTGCCCCGAGCCGTCGTCCTCCCTAGGGTTTGGGAGCCAGTGAGAGGCCGGGAAGGGGGGAGGGGGTGGGGAGACTTTATGCATGAGCTTTTGGTGGTGCGGCCGGCAGCTAGGCTGTCAGGCTGGGCCAAGGGTCTGTGCTGAATGGAAATTAGAGCAGCTGACTGGGGGTGAAACCCGCGGTCTATTGCCCCTCCTGCCTGCCCACCCTCCTGCAGCCCGGGGTGCAGTTTGGCCACCGGCTTGGCTGCCAGAACTCAGCACAGCTGCAGGGACGTTTGGTGAGACGGGGAGGTGGAGGGGAGCCGCGTGGAGCTGGCCCCCCTCCCCGGGATGTCTGGGCGAGGGTCTGAGCACTCCACTCGGCGCCGGCTCACAGAGGGGCATATGGCAGGGTGACAGGGGCAGGGTTCCGAGTTTGTCAAATCTAAGACTCCTTCCCTGACTCTGTACAGCGAAGACCTCTGCAGGCACCAGGCTGAGCACCCTCCTTCCTCCCCAGGGCCCCCAGGGTGGGTGCTTATGCCCATTTTGCAGATGAGAAACCTGGTTGAGAGCGACTGAGGCCACAGGCTACAAAGTGATGGATTTTGGATTTGAACCCCCAGCCCTTGGTGACCGTGTGTGTGTGTGTGTGTGTGTGTGTGTGTGTGTGTGTGTGTGTAGCAGGATTGAAAGCTGAGTTGTTTGACTTGCCACTGCTGGGCCTGGCGTGGGCCTGGCAGGGCCCCGTGGAGGCCGACAGCCTCTCCTGTCCCCCGTTAAAGCTTTGCACACGTGTGTGCACATACAGAGCATCCCTCTGGACCAAGAATGCTCAGCTCTGCCTTTGCTCCCCTCCTGGCCCCCGCGATGAGGCAGGGCCATGGCTGGGTACCTGGAGCGGGACAGGTCCCAGTGTCTGACATCCTGGGAGGGTCCTGGGAGCCAGCACACATAGGGTCCAGGCTGTAGGGTCGCTGTGCTGGAGTTCCTGTGAAGAGGAAAGGTCGTGCCCCAGGAACCTGGGTAGGTGTTGTGTTCCTCCCCGCACCTTTCCCCCTTCCCCCCCCCCCCCCCCCCCCCCCCCCCCTTCCCCTGCACCCCGCCGCCCCCCCCGCTGCTGCAAGTTGGCTGGCTGGGGGAGCTTGTCTCCTTGACTCAGCCTGTGGCCTCCCAGGCAGCTCATGCCCCAGGCCCGAGTGGAGCGCCCTGGGCTCTGACTACACTTTATTTTTTTCTAAGCTTGTGAGCAGCTCTGAAGTCCAGTGGAGTTGAAGGTCCATTTAAGCGGCTACTTGCCTAAGCCCTTTTGTCAACACGGCCTAATCCCTCGTTGGGGGTCAGTATCAGGAGGCCCGGCTTGTCCAGGCGCGGCTGGCGACCCAGGGCGGACCTGGAGCTGCTGGGCAGGTGGCGTTGCCCCATACGGTTGTCCGGCCGCTTTCGGGGCCTTGGGCAGAGGGCCTGCTCCTTCCAGCACCCATCGCCTGGGGCTCGGTGGGCTTGGGTGCTTGCTGTCACCCGCCCGGGAGTCTCCCAGTTGCTGAGCCTTCCAGTGGGGGCGGGGCGGGGTTGAGCCCAAGGTACAGATCTGGAGGCCAAGGAGCGTGCCCAAGGCAGCCCCTGCTCCCTGCCCCTGCTGCCACTGCCCAGGGCGGACCAGTGCCCATGCCCGTCGAGGGGAGACGTGCGCTGGCATCAGGATGGACAGTGGGACTGGAAGGCTGAGTCCGCAGTGTCCCAAGGTCTCAGACCCCAGACCCCTGGCTGCTAGTAGCCCCTTTGCCCGGGGAAGGGTGGGGGGCAGTAGCAGAGCAGGAGGTCCACTGGTCACCCTCTGGGCAGCTCTTGGGGACCTGGGAGAGCTTGGAGCCCTGGTAAGGGGCATCTGGTAACATCAGAGCCCTCGGGACCCAAAATAGAGCACATTCCGGGGCCTCCCGAAATAACAGGGTCATGTGTCTCTCTGGAGGCTGGGCTTGGAGGCTGGGCTTGGAGTCCGGCCTGCGAGGCAGTCCTGTCTTGGCCTGGGCACTGCTGACTGTTGGGGCGTTTGTTTTGGTAAACTCTGGAGGGGGCTCTGTTTGTTGATGGGGGAAGTGTCAGGGTGAGAAAAACAGCCCTCAGATGGGTGTGGCCGTGGCCGTGGCCTTGCTGGCCTGCATCCTTGCCTGGGCTCGGTTGCCTGTCTGCTGTGCCTGGGCCCAGCGTGTAGCCCTGACCCACTCTGCCCGAACATGGGTGGGGCGAGCTGGGGACCCCCAGGAGGAGCCACGGAGGGCGTGCGGGCGGGCAGCGCTGAGCTGGGGTTTGGCAGACTTGAGCGGGCAGCCCTGCTCGCCCCGGGGCAGCTGCTGGGGGCCTGATCCCAGCTCCACCAGCTCTTCCAGCTGTGCCTGTCCTTCCGGGCCTGCGGGGAGCTGGGCCTCCTCCAGGAGGCCCTCTGCCTGCCTTTCCCCGGCCCCTGCCCCACCCCCTCTGTGCCTCTGTGGGCGGGTTTCGGTTGGTGGTCCTTGTCTCCCGTTCTGGGGGCTGGTGGTGGGATTACTGTGTGGTACAGAATGGGGCTGGGTGTGGGTACCACGGGCTCTGGCATCAGGAGAGGGGCCCCTCGGTGAGCCAAGGGGGGACAGACAGTGGCTGCACAGGAGGTGGTGTGGGGTCGGGGGGAAGGCCCCAAACGCCTGCCCAGAGCCGGTGGAAGCTGCCTCCGGACTTTCATTTTCTTGGCTTGCCCGGGCTCTCTCCACAGTTGGTGTATTTCCACGGTAGGCAGTGGTCTCGAGGAAGGCCCGTCCTCTAGGAGAGGAGGGCTCCTGGGCCCGACTCAGCTGCTGTCCGTAGGACAGAGCAGAGGCCACTGAACTGGCTCAGGACAAGACCTGATCCACCTTCCCTTTTCATCCACCCCTAGTTTGTCACAATTTGTCTAGCTGGCTCTGGTGGCCAGGGCCTTGAGGTGTCCCATCGACTGGTCTGTTCCTATGGGAGCTGACTACAGGCAGGGTTAGGGATGGGCAGGGGTGCAGGCCCTTGAGAACCTGGGTGGCTGGTGAGGTTGGGGTCTGCTTGGGGATCAGATATCTTTGCCCTGACGTGCACGGTGCAGGTCTGTTACCTGGATGCTATGGAAGGTGCGGGGAGAGGGCCGGGCTCCTCCCCTCCCCTGCCTGCACTGCTTACGTTTTCCAAGGGGCAGTTCCATCTTCACTCTCCCTTCCTCTCCTCCTCAGGCCCCTTTGTCACTTGCTCCCCCTACCTGCTCTCTCTCGAATGACCCGGCCATTCCCGGGGAGAGGGGGAGCAGACCCTGGGAGCTGCACCTTCCTGGGGGACCATGTCCTCTTGTGGGCTGTTGGTCAGGCCACTGGGGATCGGGTCCTCTGTCCCTGCTGCCTGTGTGTGTGGCCTGCCTGCCGGGCTCTCGGAGCCTTAACTGTCCATCTGTAAAATGGACACGTGTGTTGGCCCTTCTACGGTGCTGGCGGAAAGGCAGCCCATCTTATTTCAGGGGCGTGTCTACCTGACGGCCCTTCTTCGAAGGCAAGGCCCGTGGCCAGAGCCTCCCCGTGCCCCCTGCCTGGATCAGCGAGTGGCCCGGTTCTCGAGTGTTAGGCTGAAACAGGAGCACAAAGCAGAGGCATGGCTGCTGCTCTCAGGGCTGCGGGACCCCCGCTGGAGAGGAGGGCTGCCCCCGGCCTCGTCTCCCATGCTGAGCGAGCACCGACACGGCCCCTGCTCTGTGCACCCTCCCCGAGGCCCGCAGGAGCTGGTGGGGCGAGGGCCTCGCTTGCACGCCCACTGAGCCTGGTGCGGGGTGTTCCGAGCAGTCGTGCCCCAGTGCCTCACAGACGGAGAAATTGCACCCTAGAGTTACAAAGCAATCGTCTAGCTCAGCAGCCGAGTGAGCGTGGTGGAGCAGAAAGCAGCTCAGTAAACCTGGCCCGGCCGACGCGGAGGACAGTGGGGACACGCGGTGTGCGCACGCTCAGGCGGCTGCAGCCGCGCGCTTGCTCTAGGCCCCGCAGCTGGGCCCTGCCTGCCCTGTGCCTGGCGCTGTCTGTCCTGTGTCCCTACGTCTGTGTGTCCTCTCGTGCCTGGGACCCGCGTCCCTGCGTGAGTGAAGCAAGTGAACGGGGCGGCCGCTCAGGGACCCATTTCCTTGGTCTCCAGAAGCCAGATGGGCCTCCTTGGCCCGCGTCTGTCCCATGTCTCTAAATCTCTTCTGACGTGTCCGGGGCACTGTGCCGTCCATCCGAGGACATGATGGCTCCATTCCCTGGGCGCCTGCTGTGTCCCTGGGCCTCAGTTGCTAGGACCTCGTGACAGCCTCGCGGGGCCCACGGAAACGTGAGGTCCGTCGCGGTCTTTGTGCCGCGCTGCGCCTCTGCACGGTCCTGCCTGCTTTCTCTCAGCACCTTGGTGTCCCAGTGGCGGGGCCTGAGCACCAGCTGTGCCAGGACCAGTCCCTGGGGTGGCGCCGCTGTCCCCCGACCTCCTGATCGTCAGGTGGCCTCTTCAGAAGCCGCTCTCCTGGCGGGGCCTGGGTCTGTGCCCCGTCCTGGCTCCCCGGGAGCCCTGTTATGCGTGTCGGGCCCTCAGGTGAGGGAACGTTTTGTTCTGCGAGACTTGGTGGAGGTTGAAGCTTCGCTGTCCCCGTCTGTCCCCGTTCTGTCCCTGTTCACCCCTCGAAGGTCCTCTGGGGAGTAGAGACCCCGAACCTCCTCCGGGATTGTCCCCGGTTGGGGGTGGCGCAGGGTCGAGGGTATTATTGATAGACTGGAAAACCACGGGCTGGGTGACAGCTAGAGGCGCAGCCTCAAGACGCCCGTGGCCTGGGGTCCCCGTCCTCGCCCCGCCAGGGCAGAGCTGTCTGGCAGCAAATTCCTGAGGGACCTGGTGGGGGTACTGGGCGAGGACAGCCACACCTGGTCCCCTTATCTCTGCATTCCCTGTGGGCAGCGCACACGCGTGTATGTGACCGCACGCCTCCACGCGTACACGCACAACACGCACACAGGTGCACAGCTGTGAACACACGCACACGTACGAACACACGTGCACACGTGCGCACGGGCGCTCACGCACCCACTCCCACGAGCGCGCGCACACAAATACGCGTGCACGGACACGCGCACGGGCCTGGCCTTCCCAACTGATTTTAATAAAGTCTCAATGCGCTTTTCCTTAGAAGGACTCGGGCCTGCTGGCTGGCTTCAGTCCCCACGGCGCCCGGGGAGCACCTGCCGAGCGCCGGCCGGGCCGGAGCTGGCTGTGAGCGGGAGGGCGGCCGGGCTTCCTGTGGGAGCCAGTCCTGGCGTGGACTCTGAAGCAGAGGCAGGGCTGCGGCAGGTCAGGGGGAGGGGCGCTCCGGGTGGAGGGTCAGCTGAGACAGGGCCCAGCAGCCCGTGTGGCCGGAGCTAGGAGAGACCGTGTTGTGTGAGAGCTGGCTGGTTGACACGGTGACCAGGAGGGGCCCCGGGGCCCTGGGGTCGGAATTAGGCCTCCAGCTATGTGCAGAGGCTGGGCTGGAGGAGAAGGGTCCTGGGCGAGCTTGGAGCCCGATGGGGTAGGTGCCCCTGTGAGTGGGCTCTGGCTGGGTCTCAGCACAGCGGCCTGCACTGGGGGCGGGGACCCCAAGTGGCTTCCTGGCGGGGGGGTCAGGCTGGGCCACTGGGTTGGAGATCTTCACCTCCCTGAGCACGGGGCTGGGAGAGGACCCCCCCCCACCCCCCAACTCCTGCCCGGCCCTGGCTCTTCTCCTGTCCCCTTCTCCCTTTCTGGCCCGTGGGCCCTTGGCCTGTCCTTGGGGACGTGCTCTCCACCCCATGGGCCCCCCATTACATCATCCGAGACGTTCCAGGGCCTGGGGTGCTAGTGGCTTCAGCGAGGGGGCCTGGGGTCTCTGGGAAAGGTGATGGAACAGTCTGGAAGTCAAGAGGGCTGAGCCCAGTCCCGGAAGGCCGTGTCGGGCCCAGAGCACCAAAGTTGGGGGATGGGCTGTCTGTGCCGGGGCAGGGCGACCG